CTAGGCTCTTTAACAAAGAGTCCCGAGTAAATATTGCTTATCCCACAAAAGTAGAAAAGAACATGGAGAAGTGTCGAGAAATTGCAATGTTTCCCTAACTTACAGCGGTTGTAGCAATTGAATTATTAACTTAGCCCCCTTTTGGTCCCAATTATTCTTCATTAAATTATAATTCATTTTTTTTTCTTTTTATCAATCTCACATTTTTCAATAAAATAATATTATACGTCCAAAAATATTTTTTTAACCACATATTCTCCAAAATATTACTATTCTTCTCATTTTAATTTGGAATAACGGGGGCCAATCGGTGGCTTAATTTGAGCGCTTAAGTGCCCAATCTTTTAATTCAATTGTAGCTTTGGTGTCCCAGGATGTTTTTGGTATTATTAAGGAGAACAATACATAAATCAAGTATTTACTTTCACCCATTTTAAAAATACAGAAACACGTTTCAAATTTCAAAAATCAGATTTCTTTAAATTTGTATTTATGAAATAATAAATTATTAAATTAATAAATTATTAAATATTTAATTCTAATATAATATAATTAACCCATCCCACATTCACCACCCCTACCGTTCCGGCAACCGTTCCGATCACCGCCCTACTCCGGAGAACTTTCCGGCGACTTCGCAACGACTGTTCCGGTGACTTTTCGATTCCGACANAATATTTAATTCTAATATATTATAATTAACTCACCCTCACCTCCACCACCCCTACAGTTCCGGTGATTATTCCGGCGATCTTTCCGATCACCAATATTCTCCGACCACCGTTCCGGCTACTGCTCCGATTCCGACGACTATTCCGATGACCGTTCGGTCGCGGCTTTATTCCGGCGTCTTCTCCGATTCCGACAATTATTCCAACTCTGACGAAATTTTTTAGGTCACAATTCAAAATTTTCATAGATCACAATTTGTTTATCGGTCACAACTTAAAAAATTAAAAGTCACAATTTATTCATCGATCACAGGTCACAAAATTTATAAGTCACATACTTATTTACGGTCACAAACATCACATTAATTGAACAATAATTATATTTAGGTAACAATTTATCAAATTAACCAAATTAGTGGTCACAAACAACCAGATTATTTGTGACCACCACCAAAATCATTTGTGACCATCGAATTTTATGGTCACGGATTATTTCTCCACCACGAATTAAAATTTTTTATAGGTCACTGATTTAATAAAACAAAATTTTTACTGGTCACAACTCTATTAGAGTGAGTCACAGTCACAATTTCTAGGTCACAGACACCCACCCTCAACTCATCTCATCCCACCCCTGACCGTGGCCACGACCACCCCCACGCCATTGCACACAACCAACAACAAAATCGCCTTCACCAAATCATCTACAGGCCTGCATCAGCACCACCGTCCCAACCACCTCAATAATAACACCACTACCACCTGTAAAATCCATCCACAACCCCATCCCAAAT